GAATTAATCAACAGTCGTACCTAACATTCCAACAACACTTTACAGGTAACAAAAGCACTGCACACTGTTTGATCTTGACAAAACTCACATCATTTCTAGACTAGGGAGCTGAGGTTCAGTACCCTCACACCTGATAAACGGCAGACGTGAACTAAACCCAGAACTCATCAAAACAAGACTTTTAAAACCAAGGGGAAAAAAATCGAGGCATGTGATTTAACATTACCATAAATCTTATATACGTACATCTAATTATATAACTAAGATCAGTCCAACTTCTTGAACATGCAGCCTGGTTTAAGACTGTTACAATGCAGCTGTGCTCGTAAGTATGTTAAATGCCTTAATTTTAAGAAAACCACACATAACTGATTTCCTAACAGCAGAATCTCCCCCATGAAGCTCTCTCCTAAATTAAATAGCAAAAATGTTACTAGATAGTTCTCGTTTGATGGCTTTCCCCCAGAAGATGCTTTCCTGAAGCCCCCTTTCAATGACATAGATATAAATATTAAATAAATGGGAATTCTATAATGGAATGTAGCTAGACAATGTACCAGATTGGGAATAATTCAAATAACCAGACACCATGTCCATCACAACTTAAAGAAAATCAGCGACAAATACTTAAAGCTCATTTTCTACACACAGAAAAAACCCACAATACTCTAAAAATAAGTATTTTTGCATTCACAAATACTGGATTTCATTGATTCTAGGGAGCAGTTTCCCACGTTAACATCTTTGAAATCAGATGTATCTATCATTCAATGATACAAACTAACTTCCTGATACTGATGTCCAAATGCCCTTAATTTTTGTTTACCTTCCCCAACTGAAACATTTCTGTTTCTCCCATCATATATCTACATAAACCCCATCAGAAAGGCCCTACCACATCACCCAAATACCCGTAGGATTTCTGTAACTCTTTCGACTTAAGTTTCAGTTACAGATAAGCCTTTAGTATTTCTTTCTTTAGAAAAAGATTAATATGATCACAGATTAAGAAACAGATTAAGGGGTGCATGGGTGGCTCAGTCAGTTAAGGGTCCGACTTCAGCTCAGGTTATGATCTCGTGGTTCATGGGTTCGAGCCCCACATTGGGCTCTGTGTTGACGGCTAGCTAGAGCCTGGAGCATATTTCAGATTCTATGTCTCCCTCTCTTTCTGACCCACCTCTGCTCATGCTGTCTCTCTCTCATTCTCTCTCAGAATAAAACATTAAAAATTTTTTTAAAAAAGGGGCACCTGGGTGGCTTAGTCGGTTAAGCGTCCGACTTTCGCTTAGGTCATGATCTCACGGTTAGTGGGTTCGAGCCCCACGTCGGGCTCTGTGTTGACTGCCAGCTCAGAGCCTGGAGCCTGTTTCAGTCTGTGACTCCCTCTCTCTCTGACCCTCCCCTGCTCACGCTGTCTTTCTCTCTCTCTCTCTCCTAGAAATAAAAATCTTAAAAAAGAAAAAATTTTAAAAAAAAAGAAAAGAAACAGATTAAACAAAATCATCACGTAAAAAGTCAAGACACATAAGGGGCGCCTGGGTGGCTCAGTTGGTTAAGTGTCCATCTCCGGCTCAGGTCATGATATGGCTGATGAGTTCGAGCCCCGCGTCGGGCTCTGTGCTGACAGCTCGGAGCCTGGAACCTGCCTCAGATTCTGTGTCTCCCTCTCTCTCTGCACCTCCTCCGCTCACTGTCTATCAAAAAACAAATGTTACAAAAGAAAAGTCAAGACGTAAAATCGCCAGTGATGAAAAAAACCATGGCCATCAAGTGACACATAAAACCAGGGAACAGTTCACCACAGAGCCCTCCTCCCGCGCTCCCCACTTTCCCTAGTAAGGCAACGAGCACAGGTAGCAAGACCCACTGCCGGCCTGGAGGAGGGAGCGCCAGTCCTGCTGCGGCAGTCTGCAGGCAAGACCGCTGGAGCCACCTATCAACTTACCGTCTGTGGGACATCTATTTGCTGATGGCCATTTTTTAACCCAGGTTATTAAGCTTCCAACATTTAAAAAATTTTTTTTGTTTGTTCTATTTATTTTTGAGACAGAGCACAAGTGGGGGAGGGTCAGAGAGAGAGGGAGACACTGAATCCGAAGCAGCTCCAGGCTCTGAGCCGTCAGCACAGAGCGTGACGTGGGGCTTGGACCCACGAACTATGAGATCGTGACCTGAGCCGAAGTCAGAGGCTTAACCGACTGAGCCCCCCAGGAGCCCCTAAGCTTCCAACATCTAAAGGCATCTCATTTTCATTTGCTTTCAGAAGCAACTCCCTAGTTCCTGCCGTGAATCGCAGTCCCTAGATCCCCAGGCTGGCAGCCACACCCCGCAGTGAGGGCCGCATCAGTACCAGCCACCGACGGCCACCGAGGCAGGCCGGCACGCACGGTCACGGTGGCTGCTGTTCAAGTTAACTGCACCTCCTTCCCCCAACCCCGTGCCGTGGCTTCTGCGCCTGACATTGGGAAGCACAACAGTCCCCCCACCCAGGGTCGTGTGGAGACTGGACTTTCACACCCAGGTAACTTGGGGCAATCTCTGGAACAGAAGGAGCACTCGGTACCCGTCAGCTATTGTCACTCCAGACTGGGTCCTCTACAGCTGTGTGTGGGGACGGCCAGCCTTCGAGCGTGACAAGACAGACCCACCAACGATTATAATACCGCGTGACATCTGCAAGAGGCATTCGTCCCGTGAAGTTGTGCAAAGAGGGGCCGCAGGGCCTACGGACTGGGCCATGGTGACCACACCCCTCACGTGCAAACGTGCACACAGACCTGACGGCCTCCACGCCGCGGCCACTGCCTGGAGAGCCAGGATGTGGAGGCATGAGCTTATGATCCGCGTCTCTTCTCACTTCCTCTTGGAAGCCACCCCCTGGTTTTCACCTTTGACTCTTGCTCATCTGGGCACAAAAGTTCACCTACTCCACCTACAGGGGTGAGGACTTCGAGCAAGCAGTCAGCCTGCTGCCGGGGAAGGGACTGTCACTCCCGCATCCTGTCACCAGCAGGGAAATTACCAATTTCCTTCGGAGCCCAGCTCTACTCCCACTCGCAGGAGCTGAGGTCCCCGACAGCGCTGAGCTGGCCCAGCCCGTGCGTCTGCAAAACCCTATGCTTTGAAAAGGTAAAAAGCCACTGAATTTTACACGGCACAGTGCTCTCTTCAGAGGTTATGATTCAAGTCCCCCGAACCTGGCTGGCTTGGTAGGCGGAGCACGCAACTCTTGATCTCACAGCTTTGAGTCCAAGCCCTTCACGGAGTGTAAAGATCACTTAAAAATCATCTTAAAAAAAACAAGTGCGAAATGGAAAGCAAAAGTCTCTCCCCTCTGTACTCAACGCAGGTGAGGCCCCAGCCTCCACCTCAGTCACGGCAGCGGGAGGCAGAGACGAGCAAGTGCAGCGTCGCCGTGGCACTCTCCCAAGTAGAGCTGGGACCAGGACAGGCCCAGCACGCGCCACAAATCTGAACGAATCCCGGTTACTGCCCTGGCGTTCCGGCACCCACGTATCCGCGCAGTGGCCTCTGCAGACCACCGCCCTTAATGACCATGGCCGCTTCTTAGCATTTCTCCATCCTGGCTGAGTTTGGGCACAACCGCCAGCTGCTAACAATTACGCTTCCTCTACCACCGACTTCCACGGAAGCAATACAATTCAACAGTCACGGCCACAACTCTGCGGCAAAGAGTGTGTGTTCGCCCTGACTGACTACTGGGCCAACGCGTATGAAAAATCACAGGAAAAAGCTCTGAACACCTACAACGACCAAAAAATACCCGAGCGATTACGGCAAAGAAATCTTATCAAAAAAACATAACTTGACGCGCAAAACTTTTAGATACGTTCACAATTTCACTAGAAGTAAAACTGCAAAAAAGTCCCAGTTTAATTCAGCAAACAAAATTATTTCTGTGAAGACTTAAGAATACCATTTTCAAAGTGTAACGTCACACTTAAAATACACCATCTTAGTCAGAATTAAAAGTTAATTCATTCCATTTGTCAAAACTTCAGAAAAGGAAAATCAGAAATTAAGACAGGCATCAGCCTCCCACCCTCACAAACACACAAGTTCTGCTTTACTCCTGACCACTCCTGATAAAAACTCGGAGTAAGCCGGACCGTCACCCACTTGGCACAAGTAAAAATATACCTTAAGAGAATATAAAAGGAACAATCGGTAAATTATTTAAGTCATATAAAGTCTACCGTCAAACCTCAAATCGTACACACCTTCGCCAATTCCTCAGAGTGCAGTTTTACTGAATAGTCCGGGTGTCACACCGCTGGTGGGGGGCGGATGTTCAGGAAAGGGGACCGAACACCTGACCGGAGGCTCGGGGCGAGGAAGGTGTATTTCTGGCAAAGACCAGGCCCTTCCACGAGACGACAGGTTCACCACGGTCGCTAAAGCGAAGCCTCTGAACTCGGAACGTTCAGTTCCCGAGTCTCCACGCACCGCGTCCGGGAACGAACGGCTGTTCGCCCTGGAGCTCGGGAGCCGGGGGCTGGGAGGGGCCGCCGCCGCCCGACAGCCGGGCACCCGGGTCATCAAAGCCCCACCGGGGAGCCGAGGCCACGCCGCTCGAGCAAAGGCACCGGCGACAAGCCCGGGACGCGACGACGGCGCCGAACGACGGGAGGCTCGGCGGCCCAGCGACCGCTTTCCAGGACAAGAAGCGGGCGCGGCGCGGGCCCCGGGGGTGCCCGCGAGGGGGGGCTCCCGCGGCACCGCAGCCCCGGCGCCGGGAGGCGCCCACACCCCACCCCGGAGACCGAGTCCTCGCGAGGCTCTGTGACCTTGGCTTCCTTACATAACCCCTCTGGGCCGCCTCCCCGTCCGGGGCCGTACCTCCCCGCCCGCGCGGCGAACGGCTACCGCGACGCCCCCCGCCGGGCGCGGCCGCCAGCACCGGGTCCCCGGGGCGGGGGGCGGGGGTGCCCCGGGCGGGGGCCGCGCCCGTCCCCGCGCCAGGTGCGCGGCCTTACCTTCGGCCACGTCCTCGTCGATGGCCCCCTTGACCTGCGAGAAGCACCACTGCAAGTCGTTGCCGCCCGCGGGGCAGCCGCCGCCTCCGGCTCCTGCGGACACACCGGGCGCGTCAGGGCCGCTCCCGCCCCGCGCCCCCTCCCGGGACCCCCGCCCCGCCCCGCGCGCGCGCCCCCCTCACCTGCCATGGCCGGCCGGCCGGCGGGCGGGCGGGCGGGCGCCGAGGCGGCGGCGCACGAAGGAGGCGGCCGCCGCGCCGCTGCCGCCCGAGCACCTCAGCCCGGCCGCCGCCGCCGCCGCCGCCGCCGCCGCCGCGGCCGCCGGGGAGGGATTTTTTTTTTCCCTTTTCAAAATGGCGCCCAATGCCCGTCGCCCGGCTCGATGACGTCATCCTCCACCGCCTCCTCGCGGGCCCGGGTGGGGGCGGGGCCCCCGGGAGGCTTCCCCCGCGGGGGCGGGGCGGGGCGGGGCGTGCGGCCGCGAGGGCTGCCGGGGGCTGTGGGGCGGGCCTACTGCGCCTGCGTGAGCCGCCTCGCGTCGCACCACGCTCCCCGACCCGGGCCCCGCACCGCTCCGAGTCGGAGCAGGACGCTCCAGGCTGGCGGGGCGGGTGCCCGGGCCCGCGGGAGGCAGGGGCTCCCCAGGCCAGCCGCGAGGCCGCCGCTAGCTCTACTCCTCTCTTGCCAGCTCGAGCGAAGGACCCCGAGCTGCCGTCTCCCCCGCGCGAGCCGGGTCGATCCCAGTTGAGTCTCGGCCAATGGGACTGCCGTCCTCGGGCAGAGCAGCCAATGGAGGGCGCGCTCAGCCGCCGGTGGGCGGAGCACCTGGGGCCGCACCTGGGGCCGCACCTGGGGCCGCACCTGGGGCCGCACCTGGGGCCGCACCTGGGGCCGCACCTGGGGGCGAGCTGCACCTGCGCGCTGGTACCCCGCCCGCCTGGCCGCGGGACTGCAAATCACCGCCGTACCACAGAGCGAGCCCGGGAGCCGCGGGTCGGCCTTCGATGGCAGCTCTGCACAGAGCTCACGTCGTCTGCCACGTTGTTAGTCCAGGAGTTCGTGACCCTCCCGGAGACAGTCGTAGGGAAACGGTGTATCAGCACAACTCGGCCGCCTTTCCTTCATTGTGAGTGTCTTTAATGTGGCGTCCGGAGTGATTATTCACTTGTGAGTTTTGTGAATCAGAAATCATAACTTCATCCGGTGATGTTGTGAGTTTGGCAGCGACATGTCGCACCACTAGAAGATGATCATTCCGGAATGGGAACGTGTGTCCACCCCCCAGGTGCTGTTTACCGGGGCTGCTGCTACGCGCCGCACGCCGCTCACCGTCTCGGGGTGTGGTGGTACGAGCAGCAAACAGCCTGCCCTCAGGGAGTTGGTACAGCACCAGTAGAGACAATAGGGTGGGGGGGGGTAATAGGTAATAAGTCAAACGGAGCTGGATAGAAAGATAAAGCAAGAAAGGAGGGAATGGAATGTAGCAGGAGTCCACGGGGGGAGCGTCAGGGAGATGCGGGAGCCCCACCCGCAGAAGCCCGTGGCAGGAAGTGCGGCGGACTCCACACCAGATGGGCCTCGGGCCATGAGCAGAGGAGGGCCGTGACTGACGTGGGTGTGGCTGCGCTGCTGAGACTAGACCGTAGAGGTCCAAGCGTCCGATCAGGGAGCCTCCTGAGGAGGTCGTGAGGTCATCTGGGAAAGGGATGAGGGTTGGCTGGTCATGAACATGATGGCGGGTGAGAACAGGTCAGATTTCAGAGATAAGCATCTGGAAAGCACCTGGGATTTAGAGATGAGGAAAATGTGTGAAGCAAAGCAGCGCTCTGGTGGGCTGACCACCTGGTAGAAAGGAGTGTCTTGGCCCAGAGGTGGGAGGGCCACAGAGGGAAGAGCTAAGCAGGGGCGGGAGTTGGGTGTGAACTTGCTGTGCAAGTTGCACATACAAGTCTGGCACATACAGGGAAGTCGGGACCTGGAGATACAAATATGGGCAATGAGAGCGTTTACAAGCACGACGAGCCAGGAGAGACGGGGTGAGCTCACCCCAGAAGGGAGGGCGGATGGGACAGAAGCCTGAGGGAGGCCGTGAGCTGGGCTCCCAGAGAACCAGAAGCACATGCAGCCCAGGCCAGGTGAAGTCAGGGCCGGGAGTGGTTGGCTCTCAGAGGCTGCGTCGGGAACGCTGAAGGGGGACCGTCAGGCTGTGGCAGTGGGGGTGTCATTGCTGACCTGGACAAGAGCAGTTGCTATGGAGTGGACTGCGCAAATCTGTTGTGAGAGGGAACCGTTGGAGGTGGTAACAACCCTTTGCAGTGAAAAGGAGCAGAGAGGGGCTCCTGGGTGGCTTAGTTGGTTTAGCGTCTGACTTTCGCTTAGGTCATGATCTCGCGGTTCGTGGGTTCGAGCCCGCGTCGGGCTCTGTGCTGACTGCCAGCTCAGAGCCTGGAGCCTGTTTCGGATTCTGTGACTCCCTCTCTCTATGACCCTCCCCTGCTCACGCTGTCTCTCTCTCTCTCTCTCCTAGAAATAAATAAAAAACATTAAAAAAAAAAAAAAGAGAGAGAAAAGGAGCAGAGAAATGGGGGCTGTAATCTCCCCTTTTAGATTTAGCCATTCTGCCTCTGAGCAGTTGAGAAACTAGTTAACTGTCAGGCTCTCTCACATGCAATTGCTTCAATGTGTATTACAGATGTATCTTTTGAAGCAATAGCACAATAATTAGCTTTGGTTTAGGCTGTATTCTTTGGCTAATTAGCTATCATTAAATTAAAATTTAAAAACAACAGAAGCCAAACAAAGGTACCATATTCCTGAAAATAGTGCCCTGCCTTCCTTGTGTTCATCAATTGGCCAGCAAGGGATTTTTCACTATTCCATTTATGATCTAAAGAAGCTTAAATATCTCAGTGAGTTACTCTGGATTGTAATTGGCGTTTGTCACTTTCCTTGTCTTATTATTTTTAGATCCCTTAGCCAAAGTGTGAAATGCTGGGTGTGTATCCGAATCTAGCCCGCCGTATGCGTGCAAGAGATACAATTCAGTAGTCAAAAGGAATGAGGTACTGGCAAAAACAAGGATGACCCTCAGAAACGTCATGCTGAATGAAAGGAGCCAGTCTCGAAAGATCATATGATGATCATCATATGATGATCATCATATGATCGATAGTCTTATGTCAACCTGACTAGGGTATAATACCCAGTTATTTAATCAAACATGACTATAGATGTTGCCATGAAAGTATTTTGTAGATGCAATTAACATCTACAATCAATGGACTTTGATTAAAGGAGATTACCCGTGAGCACATGGGTGGGTCTCATCCAATCAGTTGAAGGCATTACGAACACAACTGAGATTTCCTGGAGAAGAAATTGTGCCTCAAGGCTGCAACACCAAACTGTTGCTTGAATTTCCAGCCTGCCATGCAGACATCACTCTTGCTGGCACCCAGAGTCCTGTGAGCCAATTCCTCAAACTAAGTCTCCTAATATATACACATCCACCCAATTGACTCTGTTTCTCTGGAGAACCCTGAAGTTCTAAAACAGGCTAAATGACTCTACAGTGATAGGGGAAAAATGGCTGCGGGGTAGGGAGGGGACTGACTGGGAGAAAGCAAGAGAAGTTTCTGGGGTGATGGAAGTGGTCCATATCTTATCAGAGAAATGGTTACGTCAGTATATACAACTGTCAAACTACTCATTGAACTGTACACAGCAAGTGGGCCCATTTTATTATGCATGAGTTGCGTGTCAATAAGTTGATCTTTAGTCTAATTTAATATATAGTTTTCCACCAAGTCTCAAGAAGACTGTGTATCTCAAAAGTTTGAAAGAAATCACTGAGGAAGTTACCTGTTAATTGTTCTTCCCTGAATACATTTATTTTTTTTTTAATTTCTCTGATTTATTTGGATTTCAGTGACTAAATACCATTTAGAACACTGACTGTGGGTCGTTCTCAAGTTCAGCTTTAGTCGCTCGCTCAGAGTTATCACAGACGTGCCCTGTTGGCAGAGAGCAGTCTTGCGGTTTAATTACGTCAGATGTAGAGACTTGTTCAAGTGTGGGGAGTCCTGGTCTCCCTAGGCTGCTTTAGGGAGACCAGCCAGGCTGGCGGGCATGGCCGTCTGAAGCCCCAGTGCGAGTGTGTCCCATTCGTCCTTATCCTTCGATGCCAGGCGCCGAACACAGCTGCGTCGTGATCAGAGCACTGTGGCTAGAGTTGCTTTTCTGATTCATTTTTTAAAAGACTTGGGGCGCCTGGGGGGCTCAGTCAGTTGAGCGCACAACTCTTGATTTCGGCTCAGGTCATGATCTCAGCTCCATCTCGTGAGATCCAGCCCCTCGTTGGGCTGAACTGAGCATGAAGCCTGCTTAAGATTCTCTCTCTGCTCCTCTCCAACTCTCGCTCTCACTCTCTCAAAATAACAAACGTATGATGACCTATATCCACCTTGACGGTACCATGCAAGGTAGTTTTACTGCCCTGGAAATCCTCTGTGCTCTCCTGGTTCCCCCCCACCCCCACCCCCACAACCAACAGTCTTTACTGTTTCCATACTTTACCTTTCCTGGAATGTTGTATAATTCACCGTTTTCACTTAGTAACCTGCATCTAAGTTTCCCCATGTGTTTTCGTGGCTTTACAAATACCTTTCTTTATCATGAATAGTTGTTCCACGGTCTGGAGGGACCACAGTGTACGTCTCCATTTACCTACTGAAAGACATCTTGGTTGCTTCCAAGTTTGGGAAATTACGAATAAAGCCACGATGCACATCCCTGGCTCTATGGCCCGGTGCCCCCTCACTGCTGGAGCTCAGCAAGCCATTGAACTTCATCCCACTGTTTTCTCCACTCTTCCCTGGATTTTTCTCCAAGCGATGAAGGAAGGGAAGGAAGGAAAGAACGAAGGACTATGTTACATGATGGGGCAACAGGGACTTTGTAGATGTGATTAATGTCACAGGCTTTGCTACAGGAAGATTATCCGAGGTGACCCGCATGCACCTGGCCAATCACATGAGCACTTTTCCCCAGCTGGAGCCAGAGAGATAGTCGTACAGACTGTGTGAGGACTTGACCTACCCTTGCTGGCAGGGGCCACATGGAACGTGCTAGAAGGAATGCAAGCAGCCTGTGGGAGCAAGGACCAGTCCCTGCTGAGAGCCCACAAGAAAATGGGACCTTAGTCCTACAGTCAACCACAGAACTGAGTTCAGCCAACCTCTTGAAAGGGCTTGGAATCGGTTGTACTCCCAGAGCCTCCAGCTTTGAGGAGGTGGGGGATGGGGGGAGGGAGGGTG